CATGCATTACGGTGTTGAGCCCAGAGCTCACGATCGTCGGGAACAGGTACAGGTACCCAACAGTCGCATAGGGCGCACAGCACGCGCTCAGCGTCGAATTTTCGGACGTCAGGATCTTTTGAGAAGGCGGCGTTGCGCTGTTCGAGAGCATAGGTGTTTTTAGAGGTTCTAGGAATTTATTGAATATTGTGAGGAATAAACGTGATGGAACACATACATCTTCTTGGCGAGACAGCTCTTACGGTGAGCATCCCAGGGTATACTGCAATAGGTCGAGTTTGGCCTGAGCCTAATCCACTTGTCGCACGAGGCACACAGCACCCTGTATGCCTCGAACTGGGCAACGTAGGGGTCATTCCGGAGATATTCGATGCGTTCATCTTCAGTGCGCTTGGCACGACGGCGCTTTGTTGGAGGCGGTGGTGTGGGATTAGGCTCGCTGCTGTATCATGTCCATACGACATGAGCAACAACCGCGAAAAATAGTCGGCAAAGTCGACTGACCAGGTAACCCTATGCGCCTCCCAATGCTTGAGGGTGAACTCGCCGCTATGCTCGTCACGGAAAGAGACGCTGGTGCTGCAGGTCTCGCATATGACACGACCGCTCTCGTACTCTGAGGGCTGGAGGGGCCTGTCGCCGCGGTATTTCCTATCCTCGATGACGGGGGGTCTATTGTCAGGGCTGGGGACGGAGACCGCACGAGGCCGCTTTCCTAGCGTCGGGGGCGGGGAGTCAGAGCGCTTGATCGTCGGGGGTGATGTGGAGACGGGCGGGGTGACCACGGCTTGTCGGGGCGGCGGCGATGCACGAGGAGTGCTGGCGCGCGCGCGGTCCTTGTTGGGAGTGACGACGTCGGCGGGGGGAGGGGACGTCGAGCGTGAATGCACAGCAGCAGGGGACGACATGCAGAGAAACAAAGCAAATGGTCATGTAGGATGGAAAGGATAACGATATTTAACATGAACGGACTCGCTGCATATTCGGCTCGCATTATGTTAACTGTTACGAGTTTGTCGCAGACGGAAACAAAAATGAAAAGGCCAAAATGAAAATATTATCGGGATATGTATGTCACGCGCGTCACATGATCTATTTTAAGCATCTTCCTAGTTCGAAAAGTTCAAAGAGAGCCATATACTGTATTCGAGGCTGTCAAACCCGCGGACAGCCCTCTTTTCGCCTCCTCGGATGCTCACAAAATAGGAAACGGATCAAATCGATAATTAATTATGATCCTAGATTTTACACAATCGTAGCAGATCCTCAGCTTCAAGTAGCGACCGGCGACTTGCCCAGCGGAGAAGTGTCATCCGACAGCAGTCCAGGACCGATCTGCGAGTCGTACGTGCTTCGCGGGATGGTCTTCCATATGGCAGCCAGGCCCATTTAGTCTCGTGTTTTCATTCAGTTCTTCTCCGAGAAAAAAGACTATCCCAAACTTACTCACGAGTCGTCATTCGAGTAGCACGTTTCACCATTATCGGGTCACTTGTCAGGTAATCTCCACTCCCATTCCATATGGCGATTGTTCTATTAAACGATCATCAGCCCAGGTGGGTCTCCAGGAAAGAAACAGGCTGGTATCGAGCCTACGTCTCGCTGAATTACTGCCTCCGAAGACGTACGTGTTCGGGTGCTCCTATGTCTGACTGGACTCTCGGAAATGGGCAGCCCAATACAATCACTTGTTGACTCCATGATGGCCAGTCTTAGGCTCTCATCGTAGCATCCACCCATCTCAAATCTCCACTCATGTTCCGCCGCAGTCCCATACCCATGTCTCTCTATTCAATTAGGCTGCTAGCGACCTAAACTGGATTGCTTTGATCTCCCGATTTAACCACCAGCGACTAGCCTTTGCCTTGCTTTATTTTGTTCTGTTCCTTTCTTCTATTTCATCCACCCGAACTCTGTCTATTGAGCTGCCAATAACAGACCCTTAATATCCACCGATGACTATCTCCACCGTCAATTACTCACCACCGTCACTCGGAATGTAATGTCCCGATATCCTGTCTATCCATCGTTGTCTCAGCTGAAATTGAGTCCGTGTTAAGCCCATGCATTGCTCCACCTCACACTCAATTTTCGGGTTCCCGTCCATCGGACTTTCTGTCTATTTTTCCCAAGCCCCTCTCCCTACTGACCCGCCGCCCATGCCATTTTGAAGATATCGACTCTGATGATCTTCGTACCTCACTGCCTATCCCCATAGGGCTTTTCCTCTGTCACCGTCACGCCGGCGCCGAAATAGACTCTTTCCATCCTCGTACTACCCAGGAACCGACATCAAAAGATCTTGCCATTCCCCCTCCACGCCGCTCCATTTGATAGTGCTCATTCCCCAAGTTTCATAGTGTCGATAACTTCCCTCCTGTCGACTCTTCATCGCTCCTTTCTTCACGGTTTCACCTTCTGATACTGATCAATCCAAAACACAACGCACGACGAGAAGCACCAACATAATAGGAAATCCCCCGATCGAGGCTCGAAGAACTTTAGATGCGCGCGGGTTGCTAATTTTATCGAATCATACTTTGCGTTACGTGATGATTATATTGGACAAGCCAACAATTGTCGTCGAGGTCTCCATAGGTCCTTGCCATTACCGTCGGGATTAACTCATTTGAATGTTCGAATTACCTCACTAGCCTAAAACAACGGCCAGTCCACACATGTTTAGACTCTGTTGTCATGTTGGCAGTACATGACATTCTAGTAGACTAACTGACATCCATCGGGTATGAATAATAGAAATGGCATATACGAGGGGTAGGATCGAGGCTCATAATAGTTTGATAGAAAGCATCCGTCAACAACATGGTTGACAACAGTAACATACCCGGAAACGTGTTTAGAGACGATACGGGAGAAGACCATCAGGGAGGAAACCTGACAGCTCAAATCGCCGAAGACATGTTAAGCTTTCATGTTGAAAACCGGCGCCACTTTGACGAAAATAAACGGGAGGACCTAGACTGTATAAAATAGAGAAGCAAAACATGATGACAACCCAGGATGGTTAAAATGATTGGGGCACAACATATGCACATCTGCGTTGGTGTCGGTGATCGGTGATATATGAGAGAGTCATAAGTTCCAGAAAAATCGAGTGGTCCGCATGTACATGAGAGAGTATACATTCGTGAGATTTTAGGGTCTGTCCACTTATTATAAGCCCCAACGGGGCCCGCCCGAACATGAACAAGACCTGGATAACGTCTGCCTCGTAAGCGGATGACAAGACACCGTCGGAAAACAAGGCTCGAAACCTCCACGGAACGGCATATGGATGTCATCATCCCTGCAGATGAAAAGAAACCTATTACAACACAAAACATCAGATTCGGTTCGCCCGTGACTGCGGCTTCCAAGTTAAAAACATAAGTGAAACTTACGAAATCTTTGCGCCTTCTGTACATACGCGGAGGAGGGGTGGGTCAGACGTAAAAAACTTTGCGAGACAAGAAAGGTTTGGCGCGAGACATATACCTGGGGTTCGAGCTTGTGACAAGGACCGGGAAGAGCTCCACAAGACAAAAAGGACTATCAGCGGGAAGCTTACTGGAGAGAAATACGTTAAGAAATGGAGCGGTAAGCGCCAAGCCAAGACTCGGAGTGAACGAGGCAAGGAGAAGTCGCTGGTAAACACGGCGCCACAGGGCCACGTTCCTAGGCCGACATCACCGAGGGGGCGGGATCCTGACAGAAGTCGCTTTTCCAAACATACACCAGCAAGTCAAGCAAGCTCTTTCGGCCGTTTATTTCACGGCCTATTTCGTGCTCATTTCCACGGACGATCAGTCAAGCAAGCTTGGATTCGACGTGGCGGTTCTTGCCATCTTTTTCGCTATTTTTCGCAGACGATTATTGAGGGTAAGCTATTAACATTCTCCACGGACAATCAGTCCTCTGGTCAGGCAAGCTCAAGAACACCGCCCTACGTCCACGCTTCGGCCTCTTCTTTGCAGGGTAAAGCCTGACCGGCGTCTTAAAAAATTGGCATGTCGCCTCGGACCCGCCATCGTCATGTGAGCCCGCTGATCATTATTCTGTCCCCCAGTTACAGTACGTTGAAGGTTCGCTTAATTCGCCTCCCTTGTTAACTTTCTGCCCCACGGTTCGGCCTTTATCGAGTCTCTTCCAGTCTTGGTTACCGACATCAAATGATCCTGTCGACGCCACCTCCTTCAGTCCTCCCCCGGATGCTGATCGACAGACAACGTTAATCGCGGTAACATATAAGGGCGGATTTTTCAAGTCCGCGGCGCAGGAATTTGACTTCATTACCTCATGGGTGGGAGGGCGATATCTGATGCATAGGGCACGTCGCAGCTCTAAACATTTCCACGTAAAGACTCAGCTTATGTTGCACATTTCAAAGTGCTTCAGCTCCCGTGTCTTATTGTCGAAACTTTGGATATCTTCATGGTCTTCTTACTGTACAAAATTGTGTGTGAAATTTGGGGCAAGTTAAGCAGTGTTGATGAAGGACTAATGAGAGTTAACGTTACGTCGAGCTGTTGCTGCTGCAATGTTACTCGTTACTGACAAAAATCTAGCTCCTGGTTAACCAGGGTATCAACAAGGCTATAAAGGCGGTATACACTAGCAGGAAGAGTGATTTCAAAATTGGTAGAATATGCTCCCCGTAGGAAACTGACGTTTTCCCACTTTAGATACTACGTATGCTATTACTATAGGTTAGTATTCATCAAGGATTCGTAGTGATAAAGCGTTAGCTTGCTTGGTGTCGTTTCCTTTGGCGCAAACCTAGACTACTCGAAACTCTGAGTCTGAGCCCGAGCTAGTCTCTGAGATAGTGAACTATGATATGTTCAAGAATCGGGACTCTCTCGAGTCTTAACCAGTACTGAAGTTGCAACTACTGGAATTTAGACTACGAGATTTGCGACTTGTCTGACGGTTGAATCTGAATCTGGATTCTGGATTTAACAGAAATAATTTCAAAAGTTTGAATGCTACGAGAATTGTCATTCGGATACGGGGAATCGAACCCCGAGCTGCCGCGAAACAAATGAGAGGCGGCAATGTTAGCCGTTACACCATATCCGACATCATTTGGCTCGATAAATATATTAATTTAGCTTTAGGCTCCTACGGTTGACCGGGCCGATGCCACGTGTTGACCAGTTCCTTCGTTTTCATCTTCACGTCGACACTGATCCTCCTGCCTGCCGACCGTCACTAACAACTTGCAGCGCGTTGTTGCTTGCAGTCGAAATTATATCCTCATCAAAATGAATGTAGCCGCGCTGCTACAAGATTCCCCTTCTGACGATCGACGGCCTGGAACCGCTAGCGGGAGCAGCACAAGATTGACAGGTCCTGGGGTTGCTGTCGATGGTAGTGGTAGTAGTGGGGGCGGCGTAGGTGGCGGAGGGAGACTGTCTGACTCGGGGCGGATACCTGACGCCGCTGTTAATGGTGCTGCTCGTCTTCCTGATGTAGGTGTTGGCGTCGGGGGCAGAGTCGTAGAGACCAGGTTACCACCAACTGGGCCAAGGGAGATGGTTCGCGAGCCACCGAGAGAACCTAGGGAGGACAGAGAACGGAGATTGTCGAGGGAAGCTGGTGACCGTGCACCACCGAGGGAAATAACTGCTATGGATTCTCGACTACCTCCGCGGGAACCAAGAGACGAGAGGCGAGGCCTCCATTTTCAAAGACTGCGCGTTCATTAAAGCCATTCTTTTAGGTTGGTTCCTCGAGAAATCGAAAGGCTTCCACCTCGTGAGCTCAGGGATGACAGGTGTGTTTGACTCTCATCCGTCTTATTCCTAAAGTAATGTAGAGCAAGGCTCGTACCACGAGATATACAGGCTGAGCGACAAAATGAACGGTAAGACCTTTCGCTGATTATTAGGTATTATAATAATTTTTGTGCACAGACCAATTGAACGACTTCCACCTCGCGAACCTAGGGATGATAGGTAATCACCTCCTCATTGTCTTTGCGCCATCTGCCTGACGTTTACAAGACTGCTACCGCGGGAAATAGAGCGACGAGATGACAGGCAAGCTCTATGTTTTTAATCTCCTTGCCGAATATTCACCCCTATGTTGTTCAGACCATTGGAACGACTCCCTCCACGCGAGCCTAGAGATGATCTTAGGTACGTTGTGCGGTGTTGTTCGTATACATTATCCATTTATGGCTCACAGGTTGGTCCCACGGGAGATTGAGCGAATGCCACCACGAGAACCGAGAGACGATAGAACCCCAAGAGAGATTTTACCGCCCCGGGACATGGAACGCAGGGATGAGAGGCTTCCGCCTCGCGAAATACCACCCCGCGAAATCGACAGACTTAATCCTCGCGAAATGGAACGCATACCCCCGCGGGAGCCTCGTATACCTACACGAGAAAGAAGCTTGATCCGAGATGAAAGATTACCACCCAGGGAACCTCGAGATCTGCGAGATATACCTCGGGAGGCCAGAGATATACGTGACCTCCCGCGGGAACCCCGGGAGATACGCGATCTTCCTCGAGAACCACGAGAAATACGCGATTTACAGCGGGACCCTCGCGATATACGTGATTTACCACGAGAGCTACCACGAGAGCCCCGGGACATACGTGATATGCCACGAGAACCACGCGATATACGCGAGTTGCCTAGGGATCCCCGAGAAATACGTGATGTCCCTAGGGAACCAAGAGAAGTACCTAGAGAGCCCCGAAGTGAGCGTGAACGAGGACCAGGGCCAGGAGGTTGGGCGCCGTGGCCTAATAGGGAGGAAGGCTGGTGGAGCTTTGGTGGAAGGGAGCGAGAGAGGAGGGAAAGGGAAAGGATGGATGTTCGCACGATTGATAGAGAACGACTAGAGGCAAGGGAGCGGGAAAGAGAAAGAGAGCGAGAAAGAGAAAGGGAGAGGGAGAGAGTTTCCCCTCAAGGGCGTACTGTACACGATGTGAACCGGGGGAGAGAGCGGGAAAGAGAGCGAGAAGTATTCCGCTCTCCCGCAATGGCGAGCCTTGGCATGGATGGGCCATACGGACCAGCTTCAAGAAGAGGTCAGTGTTCTTAAGGTATCTTCTCAACTTTACAACTCACATTACCTTTAGATGACAAAACAGCGTCCAGACCGATTAATCCTACCCCCATTAACTCTACGCGGTCAATTATTGACGAAAGGGAGCGCGCTGAGCAATTAGGCGAACGAATGGAGAGGGATCGCATGGAGAGGGAACGTATGGAGCGAGAACGTATGGACCGACATACACCTAAGCCTTTCGCACCAGGCTCGCTTCCTCAGCGACAATTCCAGAATCAGTTTCATACACAGTTCGTTCCTGCTGCATCTGGTCCCGCCGGCATTCCGGTGGGGGGACCTCAAGGGATGGTTTTCGATAATTCCAACAAGAAACGGGAGCGAGATACGGTACGAGATTCTCGAGGAGGAAAGAGACCGAAGCTATCCCGTCCAGTTCGAAGCAAAGTGAAAGTACACCTGGGGACGTATATTTGGCCCAAGGTACCATTCCCCTTTCACTTCCCTCCGCCGACACCCAAAGAGGAATTCCCGCCCTTACCGAATCCAGTAAAGGAAGGCGAGGAAGATGCAATTATCGTGGACTGTGAGCGGATTGCCGAAGTTCTTGTGCCAAGTGGATTCTTTCCCGATTCACGGCCACCACCGGGGAAAACCAAAATATGGGGTGGCGGTGACTCGGAGAGAAGAGTTTACACGGACGATTCGGATATCTTTTCGTGCGCTGTGCACGCAGGTTGGGTCACGTATAGCGGTGCAAGAAAGGCAAAGAAGGAAGGGAATGATCTGAGGGTACGTATAAGGATCATCCGGGTTTCAGGAAGAGGTCCAGAGATTGGTCATTCCAAAGAGGAGGTCATCGGCCGATTTTTGGGTGGATGGGGTGAGGGCGAGGGCGAGGGCGAGGAGGATGACGGGCGTGGGTTGATGAGCTGCGGATGGGGAACTGGTCATGATGGGAGTGCTATCGAGGTACTCGGGGTGGAGTGGATCAGCAAACGAGGTGGTAGGGGCAAAGCAGGGCGAAAGCAGAGATTGGACGAGTATAGGCAGCGACGGCAGGAGGTTATGTCTAGTCCTGAAGAATCCGAAATGATCATGATGACATTTGGGTAGGTGTATACTTTGTTTTAATTAGATAATCTATTTTTCGTGTTTCCTGTATTTTGTTCGTGATGGAAACCGACACCCACAACGATATACAAGTACGTAATAATAGTCGAGGCAGAGCAAGAACCAAATGTACTTGTCAGTATTTCCCATCTTTTCGTTGGATTTCCTGATAGCTGTTTATCCCTTATGCAATGCGTCGATACAATCTGTTATCGTAGCTATCAGAAGAGTGAGGTTCTTTCTATAATCGGCTGCAAGTTCTGGGTCCCACAAGACTTCCAAAACTATGGTCTTGAATACCGTAGCGCTCTTATTGAAACTAGTTATCCTTTCACTGTGTGAGGAAGATGTCATAAAAGGTATGAGTATCTTGGACTATCGCGTTACATCATTAAGCTTATACAAAATAAAAAAGGGTATCATAGTTAGATCAGCTGTATACCTTCACCCAAGCGAAATCGAAGTAAGCATTGGCGAAGGCACCAGGATTGTTGTTGACGTAGTCTTATTAATAAATTAGTTTCATCGCTGCTTTTAATTAAGCCGTTCACTCACCAACACAGGAGGAGGGACAACCAGAGCTTGCATAAACGTTTCCAGCCCAATCGCCGCCTAAAAATGTTGTGAGACAAAGAGGGAGAGAAATAAAGAAAGTAGTATTCACAGAAAGTCACTGAGATAATTCGCCTAGGTTAGCTCGTGAAAAAGGCGTTATAAATACACACTTACAATTGATAATGATATTCTGGGGACTGAAATGACTCGTCAGCGAGCAAGAGGTGTTCGGGAAATATGCAGCAGGGGTTCCCTGTGACGCTTTGAGACAATAGAATTTCCAGATGAGAAAAATACTGACCCAGTTGTCGGTAATGACGGCACTGCCACCAGTACGGACCCCAGTGGGAACATTGGGGTCATTTCTAGCCCAGAACCATATCTTGATGAACGAGTCGGTCCGTTCCAAGGCATACCTAAGGATATGTAATTAATAGCTGTTCGGAGAAGTCAGCTGGGGACGAACCAGCCTCCACCGTTGTTATTGAAACCCGCTCCGTAGCTGACCGAGTTCTGTAGCTGGACGCCACAGCCCGAATTACTATTAGCATATACGTTGCAGTCGTTTTGCAGAGCAACTCTAAAGAAGTCTTCAATGAGAATTGGGGCCGATCGAGAAGAAAGCACACATACCCAGACTGAGTACGTGAACCGCTAGGCATTGTGCATCCTTGACATTTCATATCAGAAACCGGTCCGGGCACGGACAACGGAATGAACGTACCAGATGAGGTATGCAAAGTAGCTTGATTGCTTGCCTGGTTGTTAACACCCTCAATAATGTCTATTTCTCCCTAAAAATTGTTTTAGTTAGCATGTGATTTTTATAGGGCCTACAAGATCTCACCCCGTTGGGCCAGTTAGGGCCCACAGTCCATACCGCAGGCCAAGTACTGAAAGAAACGTTGAATTAGCGTGGACTCCATCATGTCGCAAACTACGAACCCGCATCCTTGTGGCATATGCCGTATGTTGAATCTGGAATGGACACATCAACATCGAGTTCTTCACTGTCTTCATGTTACTCACACCATAGCGGTGTTGCTACCATACTGCTTGTTTGACTGCAAACGGACAGAGTTACGACCAGGTCCGTTCGCGTTCAAAACGGTGGTATCATCAGCGCGCAGGATGAAGGAGCTATCAGACGCGTAGGTTAGATTCTGAGCTTTAGATGTTGCAACGTCGACGTAGTTTCTACAAAGAGTAGTCCATTAGAATGAGCAGAACGCTAATCTATCGACGAAGTCACGTACACACGCCCGTTGGTGGGGTCAGAAATTGCTTGGTGCGAAAATCCAGAGTAAAACTGGGAACCAATAAAGCTATCACTCTGCTTGTACGATGCACCGAAGACAGGGGAGGCGAGCGTAGAGACGAGAGCGAC